ATGACCAACAGAGATTCCTCAGAGTGTCCGCATAAGGTTTTATGAAATGACTGATCAAACTTACTTTACCACTATGCGGTATAAACTTCATAAGGTGGTTGTTAGCAAAACCCCCGTCTTGGAACTGGCGAGAGTTGATACGTGACTGTGTGTGGTTATCAATGCACGTAAAATTATTGGCAAAAAGGGGTTTGGGGATAGAAAGCCCAGTCAAACCAAAGTTCCCAAATCCCTCCCTCGACACAACTACGCAGACGGACAAAAAGTGCAAACAAGGTTCAAGAGGCATCTTCACGTGAATTGATTCGGAAGAACTAGACCCTAAGCTAGACACAAATGCATGTGGGTTACCATATCAGTCTTAAAATTTGATGACCCATCATAACACAGAATCCCTTGATCGACACCCAACACAGATTAAGCTTGACTTAGCTGATTGCTTCTTCTTCCACACTGAAACTCGACCAAACTCGTCACCTAGTCTCATGGCCTGACGAAGCCCTTATGACAAAACCGAAACTTTGTTCAGCAATAAGCCTACCAATTGACCCCAAAAGTATACAAAAACGAGAAACCCGTCGCCAGTTTATTTCCAGATTCAGTGTTCATCATGTTTCGAAGAGTTTGGGCAAAGAGGTGTGGAAAACGGTCGAGCGAGCGGTGGTCGCAAAAAACCTTGGCAGGACAGCGGACTTTAACCCAATCACTTTAGTCCAATTCACTAGGAAAACAAACAACTCAGACCTTGATGCATAACCACGTACTCGCATGTTATACGCGAACGAATTCGTAAAAAATATCCTACTGAAAGCGGAAGCATCTATAGCATCTACGCTGGAACAGAGGGAACTGAGTATTGCTGATCTGAAACAATCGGCTTTATATATCTCGAAACCTCCGGATGGAATCGAACTCACTATCTACGGGCTGGTAGTTGGACGAAACGCCGAGCATTCCTTGCTTTGGGCAATTCCCAAAGTGTGGTTTCGTTTTGTCAGGGTATCAAGCACTTTAACATTCTTCACACTGGCAGTGTGTGAAATCACGCACACGAGAGCACTGTTGCGTACTCCCCCTTCGGCACCCGTCAATAAGAAATCTGAACCAGGCTGTTGTATTTTTAGCGTTTAGTGGGCATGATTTGAGTATCGGACGATGTCTGCCCTTTTCTACTCGTTGCAAAAAATATGTCACTTCTAATAAGCTGTTTACCAAATGGTAAGAGGAGCAGAATAATTCTGTGGCAACGCGCACAAAGTTTGCTGGCCTATTTTATCAGAATCGGTTTCTTTTCAAACAGACTACTTTGTCCAATGACGTTCCATATTGGTCGACGTGTGTGAATTCCAATGAATCTAACCTTGTACATTTCCAGAAAAATGGGGTCCACAAAATTTTCCGCTTTTTGACCGTACATTCTTGCAGGATCTGGTGAATAAGTTTCATTTCATCTGCTAAGGCTATCGTAGTCAATTTTTCGGCTGTGGGGGCTTTTTAACACATCGCATACTGGTTTTTGGAACGATGAGATGAAACAGACAGGGTAAGGTTTTACAGCACCCTTGGCTCCAGGGGTTTCCTTGTTAGCGATCGACCACACTGAAAATCGGTTCTCCAAACCTCACATCAGAGGACAAGCACCGGATATCTGTTCTCGGGCAGGGAAGTGCCTATTACCCGATTTAAATTCTGCCGTTTTGTGATACGTTGTTGGAGACATTTTGTGCGTTTCTAAGAAAGGGTGAAAATCCAGTTATCTCGCAAACTCTTTGCAACTTTCAGTACAAACACAATCTCCATGTCATTCGAGTGACAAAATGATGCTAGTCTTCACGCTTTCCTGGTCTTTGTGTGCGTGATTGCTTGACAAATTCTGGTGTCCTAAGTGCAGTAAGAGTTTCCGTTGAAAATCGGCGGGTCTGATTGTGAAAACTTAGGATTTTTCAAATGTTTGCTTTATGTCATCAGCTTACTTGAGCCAGCATTCAGGACATATGTGAATTTGTGAAGTCTGTCCGGGAAAGTAACGCGATGTTTGTCTGTTCGTTAAGCTAGTCCGTTGCTCACC